TTGGATGTGAAGGGATGGCCGTGGGTCGTCATATAGTCATAGAAGGCAACTTATGAGATGCTTTAGCAATTTTCGTAGGGACTAAGATCGTTTTACCGAAGGCAACATCGAAGGGTCATCGAGGTACTACGATCTTTTTATCGAGGGTCATTGCTAAAATGTGTCATATTCTAGGGACATGACTATTTATTTGTAGGCAACAAGCGGGACTACCTTAAAGGTGCGCGTGTGTGGAGTGTGTTTGATTGCGTGCATTTTTGTCCTTGAGATTAGGGTTTTATAATGGTTGATTTTATCTTACCATACACACCCTAATTACTAACAATTATATTAAAGCGGTAAATTGCGGAAATTAAGATCCTAAGTTATTACATCACTTGGGGGATGGGGGTAGAATTTACAAATGGGGATGAAGCATAGGCCTAGTTAAATTATTACCACCATATTGAATAGTAATAAAAATATAAAAGGAAAATAGTGTACAAAGAAATTAAAACAAACTTTATGTATTGACACATATCTGCATGCATCGACACATGCCCTTTCCTGTTTCTAAAAAATCCAAATTGACTCAGTATGAGTCAATGCATAGTGGGATGTGTTGACTCATTCCACTTCCTATTTCTGGAAAAAATCCAAATCAACTCAGTATGAGTCAACGCATAATGAGATGCGTTGACTCATTTCCTGTTTGTGTCGACACATTCACGTTTTGTATCGACTCATGCACCTTTTGTCTTTTTGTTTTGGGTCTGGATAGCAGTATGTATCGACACATAAGGCTTTGTGTCGACTCATACCCTGTTTTATCACTAAAATGAGTCGACTCATGTGAGTATGTGCCGAGTTATGCTTCATTTTTTTACCTTAAACATTGTTCTATTGTCTGTACAAGTCAGTTTTCAACATATAATTGATAAAAGTGAACAACAAGCATGTGATTAGCTTCAAGGACAATGATTACTACATTTTATCTTCAAAAATGAATCATTAGTGATGTATGAAAAATGCAAAGTCCAGAAGACTTACCTTGAGACTGCACTTTGTGTTTTGAGTCTGAATACTTTTCAAAATGCTGTGAGGGCCTCAGTGAATCTCCAAAAAAGCTGTTGAACCTTCCTTTGTATTTAAAGTTGCTAAAACAACTCCAACCCGGTCAAGTTGCACAGTGTTGTTTTTGTTTGAAAGGTGATGATAATGACAATACAGAAACTATTCTTGTGTTTGAACAATCTCTATGTGATATGAAGTGTTTGGATGGCTAGTTTATGGGAGATTTTGCAAGATGGAATAATGGGTTGAGGTTTTTTTTGAATGAAAGTAAAGCTGGTTTTTTGAATGAGCAAAGGTTACAAAGACTTTTATTTTTTCTCTTCTCTCTTTTCTCTCTAAAAGCCCACCACTTATGTGTTGTGAAAGCAGTTTATTTATAGATGAAGCTTGGATGAGATTTGGGGGGGGGGGGGAGGGGGGGACAAATAATTTTTTGAACTGTTTGGTATGTTGTCTCGTTGCCTTTTAGAATCAGCTCTCATATGCAAATTTGGTGCAAACATAGGACTGATATGATACAGATTTTTCAGGGCAACATTGCAGGTTTTGGAGCAGGTTGTGACAGTGTTTAGAGGCAACATAGCAGGATTAATTTTGTACAGGTCAGCAGACTGTCTTTTAACAAGGTTTTGGATTGTTATATGGACAGTCCAGCGGACTGTCTTTTAACAAGGTTTTGGACTATTATGTGGACAGTCCAGTAGGCTTGGACTTGGCAGCATATAGGACTTTAGGGCTTTTCTGGACAGCAACATTTGTAACATGATACAAATTTGGTTTTGTGGACAGCATAGTGGCAAGGTTTGAGTCAAAGGGAAAAGTTCAACCAAGACAAAGTTTAGGATTTGTAATTTTAACTTAAAAAAATGTAGTTTTGTTGTTTATTTGAAAATTTGAATTATCTTGAATTGTGGTGAAGAAAAATGTCATGAGGTAATGAAATTAATCATGTATAGAAAATACTTAGAAAAAAATTTCCAAGTCTTGCAAAGTTTGATTTTTTGACTTTCTTGATTTTTGATGATCAAATTCCACATTTTGAATTGTCTTGATAAAATGTGATTTTCGAAACTCAAATTTGACCAAAAAGTTAAAGTTTGACTTTTCAGTGTACATTTGACTTTTTCATCGGTTGGTCAAATTTCATCTATCAACCCACTGATCTCGGGAGACGAATTTAAATATGAGATTAAGTTAAAATGATGTACTTGAACCCTTGAGATCATGTTTCGAATTAATAAGTCATGTATTGGGTCAAAAATCAAAGATTGGTCATTCTCAGTCAAAATCCTAATTTGGGGTCCCAATGCTTCGGAGATGATTTTGTCTGATCAATTCCTTGAGAATCCTTGAGAAGTAGAGATCATTTGTGAGGAATGTCTTGAAAAAGGAGAAGGCAAATTTTTGGGTACAACACCAAGACTTAGGTTCTAAGACTTAAGAGTGAATCTTCTATAATAAGCTTCAATGTTCAACATTCAAATATCTGAAGCCTCTGATGACAAGAGGAAGTTCAAATAGTTAATGTGTGATGTTGTACAAAAGGTAAAAAAAGTGAATGTGACATATACTCTCTAGGGTGGCGTAAGGACAGTCCTTTATACTTTATTGTCAACCACTCTCATTGTGACCGTTGAGAACAAATAGCTAGATTTATAGTTATCTTTCTTTACGTAACAGGTCTCTGTTTACAAGCTTAATAGAAAAAAAATATTTAGAGAAAAGGTGGAAAGCTATCATTGAACAGTGACAGGATAGAGAAATATTATTTTATATTGTCTAAACTCTTACACCTTATTCTATTCGTTGGGAACTAACTGTTGGTGCAGAAAAGACTTCTCTATCCTCACAATGCCTCTCTCTGTCAAGGCTATAAAAGAAGATCAAAGATTCAAAGAAGAACGTTGTCACTGCTGTCTGTAGCCCTTGGCTAAACAGAAAAAGATTTATCTTGTGAAAGGAAAGCAGTGGATGCTGAAGATGTTAAATATGCAAAGCTACACATTCTGAAGGCCAACCAAAGAAGATAGAAAAGAAAGAAAAAAGATTTCAACAAGATGTTATATAACTATCATCATATACATCTTGGATGAAACAGAAGAAGCAAAGAGTTGTTGCTCGTAGCTTGCTCAATGAAGAAGAAGATTCTACAAGATTCTATTCAACTATCATAATATACATATTGGTAGATCTTAGAAGAAGCAAGAAGTTGTTGCTTGAAACTTGCTCAACAAAAAGATGAAGAAGAACACTATAAGATGCTACTCAAATTTTGATCATATACATCTTTGTAGAACATTGTAATGAACACAAGATTTGTTGCTCATATTGTGTTTTTATTCAAATCTCTTCAAGTAAATTATTTTAACACTTGAGTTGTTGCTCGGAAAAGTGTTAAGCAATATGTACTTAAAACACTTATGTAATCTGCTTAGAAGAAGCAATCATGTAAACACAAGAACCTCATCAACTGTTGTTGATTGATTCCTTGGGAGATTGAGTGAAGGTTTGATCTCAAGAAGATAATGGTTGCGATCATTATAGTTTTACATTAGTTGACATTGTTTTACATCCCTCGTCAGTACATTAGATGATGTAGTTTTGTCTTTTTCCCCTTCATTAGTACACTAGCTAATGTCAGTCGTCCTTTGTTTTCTTTTATCAACACACTAGTTGAGATTGTTTGGCAGCGCCATTTCCTTTCCCCGACAAGTCTTCCTACTAGAATTCATTTGCATTTGCCTCATTAATTCCCACAGAGTGTGTCTTTCATAAAATATCATATAAAAAATGTGTCAAAAAAAGAGTTCATTGCGCTCATTAATATCATACCAATTTTGTGACATTTTAGGGCCAAAAATCGGATTTTATGTTATATTAAATATCTTCATATTTGTGATAGAAGAAACTTAAATAGGGGCATCTGTCACACTCTAATTTTTTACCTAAGATTCCACCCTCCATTTGCATCATTGCATAACAAGTGTTCACAAGTGGTTTGATCTATTTTTGTTAATTTTCGAATCAGATTTCAAAAATTCACAACTTCTTCAAATTTCGACATTTTTTTGCGGTTCTTTTTTGTATACGATTCTTCTTGACATCATCTACAATTTCTCTTCACGAGTCAAGAGCTGATTATGTTTGAAAAGCCACAAAAAATGGAGACGCTAGAGGTCGCTTTGTGAGTTTAGTGAAATTAAACTTCATTTCAATTGTGTTTTGTCTGAGTTTTACCAAACCGTGCATATTGCACATTTTTTATCTCTTATTTACCATTTCATTTTATTTATAAAAAAAATCACAAAAATACATTTAGCATAATTTTATTTTTCTTGGGGGGCAAATAAGAAAAATTGCATTGCATGGGACCACTCCCTCTTTGCCATTCACGATTCATACTTTGCAGGGAAATATACCAAGAACACAAAAATTCTGCAGAAGCATTTTCTCCACACTTCTTCCAAATCTTCATCAATAACCATCAAATATAAAACATCCTCCATACTAACCTTAAACGACTCTTCTCTGCACCAAAACCATCTACCCGCAAACCGTTTCAAAACCTGCACATACAATTCTCCAAAACAGCTCCGTTCACATACCATCACACTTTACTCATCATCATGCTATAAGCCAAAACAATAATACAGAAAAATTCAGAAGTTTCAGCGAAGCAAAAATAAGAGAAAATATGGTTGAGGAATTCTGTCGAGCATCTTGAGTGCGAAGCACAATATTCATGTTGCAAGAACCAACAAATACGAACAAATACAAACAATGGAAAGTAAGCAAAAAGCTCCAAGACTAAAACTGAAGAAGAAAGTGAGTTTGAAGACGACGATCCTGACAGAAGCACACCATCTTTGAACTCTGGTTGCCGCTGCTTCGTTACCGCGTGTTCCTCCCTTGACGCTAAAAAACAACGATCACAAACACTTCATAGTTCAGAACAAAGCAAGTTTGGATCTGAAACGAGAAAGAAGAACGAATCGCGTTCGGACCGCACCTCCGCCCTCCATCGACTGGTCAAAGCCACTCGCGAACACCCCAACGGCGCCGTTAGATCTAAAACAGTGATTCAGGTTCTTTTGTTTTCTTATCATTTTTTTTAGCTTGTAAATATGTTTGGATTTAGTCTTGACTGTTGTTTTGATGAGAGAAGAAGTTTTTTGCTTTGGATTTAAAGAAGCCATAGAGAAAGAAATAAGAGATGTTCATTGAGAGAGAGGGAACGTGAGAGAAAGCCACATGTCACGGCATAATAGGTTGATTCAAATAAGTTAGAAAATTCAAAAGAAACAAACTATTAGCTGTAATGAATGATGCAACGTTCCCCTTGCATGACTTTTTCTTTCTCTTTTCTTTTTTTTATTTTATTAGACATAATATTTAGAAATTTTTTTAATAACTAGGTATTAAAAAAACATTTCGCAAATAACCATCTTTCAGAGAAAATTACGCAAATAACCATGTTTCAGAAAATCCCACAAGGGAGGAGCCAACCCAGTTGACGCATGCACCTAGGTTTTTATCCTAGGCGTCATCTCACTTGGCGCATGCACTCTATTTTAACCAAGTGAGATGGCGCAAGCACTCTAAAAGTGAAGGGAGGCGCCATTTCACTTGGCTCATAGGGAAAAATACATTTTTTATAAATAATTCGTCCGTTTCTCCGTCATTCTTCACACTTTCTCGCACTGTCCTCTTTTTTTTTCTCTGTTATTTGCATCATGACATCGCCCATGATTTTTATCAGAGATGGTTACGTTATTTTCTCGGCCACAAAATCTCCGATGAAAATGAAATTCTGACACACTCACTCCATGGAGCGTCTGAAGAGGGAGTTGATGCGATGGCTAGAGGGAGACATCGAGGATGGGGAACAAATTAGAAGGATCCAGCGAAGAAGAACAACCACCACACTTGTGACAGAAAGACCTAATTTTTGGTTGGAGGAAATCAAAATAGACAGCGGCGTAATGTTGATGATGCATGAGTCAGATGAAATTGTTTTAACGGTTGTAATTTCGTAGACGGTTTATCATGTTTTATTTATTGTTCGCGCAAGGTTTATTGTAACAGATGTTGTTAATGAAAAACCGTAATGTTTACAACTTAAAAAAGTAAAGATGTTTTGTAATACAATTTTTATGTGGTTGAGCTAGTAGCCCGAGTCGGACAATTTTTGCGATTGTGTCTGACCTGACGATACAAACCATACTTTCTTTCCAGCTTGTCAATGGAGTCCATTTCAGTTGTGATGCGCTTACTTTTGGGATGACCCTTTTTATTCCTTCGCATTTGGTCATTGTGCCATACTATTTCACCGTCGTATGCAGGCCAACAATCGGGTTTTTCTACCAAAGAGAAGTTGTTATTGTTGTATACGTTGAGCAAAGTTTCAGATTTGTAAATGGGAGACAGAAGTTATAATGCGTCTTGATGAGTATAGGTACACGCAACAATAACATGAGAGCAAGGCATACGAAAGGCTTGAAACTTGCCACAATCGCACCAACGAGAAGGTAGTATAACCATATACTCTTGTCTTGGCAGCCCCTTGTTGTGGTTGATAGTCTCTTTGACAATGAAGTTGTGGTTGTGTCGGTCGAACCGTATAACCATATGGGTGTTGGCTTTGTCACTTTCTGCCTTAATATACTTCATGCAACTTTCACTCCATAGTTGTCCAGATTACAACACAGAATTCCATATTTCACCTCTTTTGGCAAACAACGAAGCCATCCTAAAATATGTTGATTTAACCAAAGCAGTTACTGGGAGGTTTCGTATGCCTTTGAATACCTCGTTCATGGATTCAATTAGATTTATTGTCATGTGGCCCCATCGTTATCCATTGGCGTATGACCTAGTCCATTTTTCTATCGGAATATTATCTATCCACCTACCAGCATTCGGATTTGACAATCGGATCTTGTTGCGATAATATTTAAATGTAGGTTGTGTCAATGCATATCCTTCATTCATAACTGCTTTCCTAAGAGCTTTTTCTTTGATCCCCTCGTGAAATTTTAGACGATATGTCTAATGCAATAGACATGCGTAGAAAGAGGGTCATGTCAACCGTTTGCAGGATTATTGTATGCACTCTCAATAGATGCATGTCTATCAGAGATCAAATAGAGATCTGGTTGAGGAGCCACGTGTGTTCAGAGATTCTTGAGAAAGAAGCTCCAAGCACCACTAGTCTCTCCCTCGACTAGGGCAAAGGCAATTGGAAAAATGTTATTGTTGCCATCTTGTTGCAATTGGGAAAAATTAATGTCAATCATAAAACTAGAGAACTTACAATCTCCTCCCTTTGGAAAATTTTGGCTTAAACAAATAAACAAAAATCCAATCCAATATTATAGCAATAAGAAAACAATTCTTCAACAGTACTCTTCAGCAACTACTGAACTCAGCAGTACAGCACCATGGAGTCAATCTTCAGACAAGATGTCGGGACATCTTATTCGACATCTTCTTTCCAGCATTTAGAATAAGCTTCATTGCAGTACCAAACCCATCACTAAAGAACAACACCTTCAAGAAAATGAGTAGAGAGTCCTAAATTCATTTGGTGTACATGAGGAAGAAAATAGCGGAAACTCCCCCTCAAACCTGGAACCATTCCTTTTCATAGAAGACCAATGGTGGCATAAGATATTACTTAACCACTTTTTGATCAGCAGCCACCGGTTGACCTAGAAAAATCAACCACCACTCCTGGTAACTCATAACACAGGTCACAACTGTGTTCAGAACTTAGATCACAAGTCACAAAATAATGCACCAGAAACAGGATAAAACTTCTTATTCGACATCTTTGTGACAGATCTTTAAAAGCAGCCTCCAGATTAATCAGCCAAGCAACTTGAGCACTTTGATCATCACATTTCTCCCCCTTTTTAGCCAAAACTTGGCAAAAAGCATTCATAATACCAGACCCAGACACAGCTTGCCCAAATCCGAATAAAACCCATTATGATGATGAACACTCGTATGGTGAAAGAGGACAGGAGAACCCTTTATAAATAATTGAGCAATTACTCAAGAATTAACGATCTTTGAATTCAACAATAATCTTGGTCAAAGAAAATGTTATTTGAGGAGAAAAATTGCTAAAATTAATGTGCATAGTCCAAGACAGCTTTGAATGACTTTTATTAGCTCTAGATTGTTTCTGCTAAAAAGAACCAGTCCCAATACATACACATGCATAGTCAAACACACCTTATGACACGTGTTTGATCAAACTATCCACCAAAACTCCTTTGTTGATCATACGGGAACCATTTCCTGAATAATATCCTGACATTCATTCAGACATTGTCTTCTTTGCTTGCACGTTGACCAACACATCTTCAACCACACTTTCTTCCACTGGATTCTAAGTGTTCTCTTTTCACTTAGACTTAGTGACACACACCAAGACATTTGAATATCACATTTGTGACATCTCTCAATAATAAAAACCTTTAGAGAGTCCTTCACAAAATCTGTAAAAAAATAAATTCTCTCTGACATAACCATTTAAGCACTAGAGAGATATATGAATTACTGATTTAAACACCAGCTTCACATGGCTAGAACCAATCATGTGTTGTCAAGATCACCAATAACTTCATAATATCACAACATGTTTTCTGAAATCACACCCTCATAAGAGGCATAAGATCTCCTAAGTTTGAACAACACGCAAACAATATTTATACCATTGCAACAACAATCCACAGACAAGTATATGACTTCCCCTGTCATGAATAACCAATGCTCCGGCTGAAGATGAAAAACTTGAGCACTGGATGAAAACACATGAAAGACTTCATACTTTCATGTTTGGAGAACAACACTTTCCCACATATGTTGAACCTCTGACCCCCTCAGTAGAGTCAAACCAGAGTCAGATACTCTCACTCCTTGAGAATACATCCAAGCACTATGGCTTCTTCAGAATACAATGACATATCTTATTAATGTCCTTTCATAACCACACTCAGTATCATGACCTTTTGAATAGGCAAGATGTCATGCATACTAGGTGTGAAGTCACTCACAGTTTTCAAAACTTTTTAGTTTGCTTAAAAGCTTTACTAAGATCCGGGTTATCAAAACTCATCCGGAGTGACTTGCAGCAAAAGAAAAACACCTTCTCAAAACACCCTGCTCAGACCTCAGTATCTGCCAGTAGTCTTCTTCCCTTACATCCATTAGTAGTTGTTGATACTAGTGGAGTCTTCAACAAAGTAGTCATGCATTCACCAAGCATACTATTGTAGACAGGACTAGATTCTCCACATTCTAATCCACATAGTCAGAAACACCACTTCTGACAATAATGCTTGAGTATCCAACTCCACATACGCAATCCCAAGCAATAAAAACAAAACATCCATCAATGGTCATGATGTTATAACATCATTTGGGACACCAGATTCTTATTACAAAACCCAGTTACATTAGTTCTTAAATCAATTCAAAGGACTCATTATGCATAGAAATCCTTTACGAAGCTCCCAATATAACATACAGTCGGTGCAGCTTACTCGGGTTATACTAGACACCTAAATGCTATGGAGAGAAATAAACTCTCACATACTCTTTAAAACACAATGTTCATAATAGAAAATTGCATAACTCCTCAGACAAATACTTAGTCTCCCGTCAAAGTATTCACCATCAGTCTCATGCACAACTTCCTTAAAGGATAAACAAATACTCAGATCCCATCAAAGTATTCATTATATGTCAGATAAGATTGCATTATCACACAAGGTAGGACATTTTGTCTGACAATCTTCGTCCGCACACATCTAGAACCAGCTGATGACATTCATTCACGCCATAAAATATTCCATATTAGGTCAGTGGCTTGACCTTAAACTCCACTCTGGACAACAATAACTTCCATGGCTAAAGGAATAAAACACACTTTGAGACGATGCTCCAAAATCAGATTTGACACCAGTCTCAAACACATGGATTTCACCATTAAATATGGTCTGGAGACACCATAGTAATCCATAACTCTTGTAAGGGATACAAGAGGATTAACCAGTAGTAGTTGATCAACCTTTAAACTCAGACCAATACATCCAGAGCATGCACATCTCAAGAAGATTTCTTCTTATAAGCACAATGTTCAAACCTCATGTCTGACTTTGAGGTGTTGGATGACATCCTTCTGCAC